CAGACCCAAGAAATCTGGGATAAGGCCGCTAGCTTGCAGGATAAGGCTCTTTCCGGGAAGACAGCTGGATTATATTGTTTCACAGGGATCAAGGGAGCCAGCGGCTGGCGGGGTTCCATGGCAGTCAGGTGTGCCTGGGAGCTTGACCTGGACAGGTACAGAGGGAAAATCTCCTTCCCTCAAAGCTCTGAGGGTGGAGAGAGCACCTGACCTTCCCAGGCCCTGAGGTATCTCAGCGGGACTTTGTCTTGCCAGCAATTCAGAGGCTGCCTTCATTGTGGAGGCCTCGACCTTTGGCGTGGGCTTACCCCAAAGGGCAGGACCTGGATATGTGCAGAGACAGCCCAGTGTATTCTGATGTGCATCCTCTGAGGCCTGCATGCATGAGGGATTCCTGGTGGTGGTCGGCCTCAGCCCAGCCAGCCGTGTGACCCTGAGCACGTCAGTCTTTCTTAGTTTAAGTTTTCCTGTCTGTGCAGTGGGAGCAGTAATGTGGCCAGTGCCTTCCCGTGGTTGTGAGCTTCAAATGAGTGTATATTCATGAGGCTTGGGTGGAGGGTGCTGGCCCTTTGTGAGGACTTAAGAACAGCGGCTAACATTTTGATAGAGAATGCTTTAAGAAGCAGGGACTTTGTCAGGAGACCCACAAACCGTAGCTAATCTCCTGTCTTGTAGCTGCCTATTAAAGCTTTATATTGTGTAGTATTATGTTCTGTCATTTATATTTACATTTATATGTGTAGTGTTTTTATGTGGCGCTCATCCTTACTGACTGAAGCTTGAGAACTTGCAACCTCAGGGCCAAGTGAGGTTTCCTGGGGTCTCCTGAGCTGTTTCCCCCTGTACTGACCCAGCGCAGAAGGCCCATGGTTAACTGGAGAGGAGTCTGCACTGTGTGCTGAGCCCCCACTTCTTCCACAGTGAATAGAGCATGGTCCAGTGTCCCCACCCTGGCTCCTTTTCCCATCCTCATGCCATCCACATCCCCCCTTCTGAAAACGTATTCTCAGGTATTGACTCCTGAATGTGCTGCCTGCCCTCTTCAACACCTGCTGATGCATATTTAACCTTCTAAGGATGGAAGCATATTGCCCAGACCTTTACTTCCAGCTCTTTTGATGACAGATAATGAAGGTTCTCACTGTACTTTTTGGAGGTGCATTTTGGTCCGTCTGTTTGACTTTCACTTTTGAAAGTGTGGTTTGACTGTGAATAAAGCTGTTGGTTTCTATCCCGTGTGCATCTCCCTCGGGTTTTGGAGTTTGGAACCTACCATACCGGGGAAAGTATGTTTTAACATTTTCAAGTCTAAATTTTGTCTTTTTTCAATGCTTTAAAAATGTTGAGCTGTGAGTCTGTGAGTGAGTGGGGCCCACGTGCACAGTTGATAAGCCAGTAGCCTTGGTGGCGCTGTGCTCTGGTCAGGAGGAAGCTGGGGTGTGTTTCCCTACCACCTCCTGGCTGGTGCAGGGACCTGGAGCAGTGGCTCATGGAGGTCACTTCTTCACAATTTGGATGGTTATTGGCCCTGCCCCCTGTACTCGCCACATCGTGCAGTAACACAAAGGCATCGGTGTCACCATGCTGCAAACTAACTTTTTAGACAGTTTGATAACTGTGTTTCAATATCGTTGATTTCATTTGTTTTTCTAGTTATTTCATTTTATGCATTTGAAGCCCCTATAACCGACTGGGGCTGCAAAGGCAGAACCAGAAGCCTAGCTTCCATGGAACAAAAGTGTTGAGAAGCAACCCCTGACCTAAAATTACAAAAGCAACGGTGCCCATAGATAATAATTACAAGAACCACAAAAAAGATTCCACTCGTGACCCTGTTACCCCATGGTACCCCTCGAGAGACCTCGTTGCCCTCAAGATTATGTCTGAACTCTTGGGGCCAACTCTGGGGGGCCTTCTGGTGGAAGCACCTAGGAGACTGCAGAGACTGTGCAGTGTGGCAAGTGGGTGCCCCTTGTCTGCTCCCCCGGTCAGAAGACTGGCCTCTCAGGAGTCTGAGGCCCACCTTCATACCCAGTGCTGAGGACAGAGTGGCCATTATCTCACTGTGGCGAGAAACTGCCTTTATTCGGGGATAAAGCCCAGAGATGCTTTCTCCTGACTGGGCTCTCGGGACCTAGATGCATCTGCCTCCTAGGGAGGATCCAAGGTCCTCTAGGGCATGCTTTGAGAGACTTCCTGAGACCTGGCCCTGTGTCTCTGCACCTGGAAACTGCTCAGGCTGTGCCTGCAGGGGCCCCATCCTCCCATGATTACCTTAGAACTGCATTAGTTGAAAGGGTGGGTGGGATGGGGCGAGGGTCTGTGTGAGTGTTTGTGTGTGGGGGGATGTTTGCAGCCTGGCCTCACTTCTTCCCAGCTGCCTGACCTTGGGCAAAGCTACTTAGTTTCTCTGGTTTCCTTATCTGAATAAAGGAGCTAACTGTAGCCTGACCTCATCGGGATGAGCGATGATGGAGCAAACGCAGGGATAAACCACCACAGAACTGCAGTGATCACTGTAAAGTCTTCTCATCAACCTTGAGCATGGGGGACTTTCTGTTCTCTCCAAACAAGGCACAGCCCCTGATGCCTAAATGGAGTTTGCGTGCCTAGGTTGTGGGCAGGGACCTGCATGGGCAACTGTCTAAGATATGTGCTGGCAGCAATAGTAAAACTGTCCAGAGGCAACTTCCAGATTAGAATAGAAAATGTTTTCTTTTTCCGTACAGACGCAGCTGATGCCTTTTAATGCCATTAAGTGCTAAGAGGGAGGAAGGGATCAGTTTGTTTGAAAGGATATAGAAGATGGAAGAGGAGGGGGAGCCTTCAGCAGAGGATAGGCCAGTCCATTGTCTGGACACCGTCCGGTTCAAGCCTTGGTCCGTAGTGAGAGGAGGGGTGTTGTAGGGGTTAGTTTCTTCCCAAGAAGGATGGGGCTGGCACATCTTTGGATAAATGAGACTAGGCTCTCCATGCCTTGCTGTTCACAGAGTTGGGAATTCTTTACTCCCCCGGGGAGCTACCTGTGCACCTGGGGCATTACTTGTGTGCTTAGGAGACACCTGACACCTGGGGAGATACTTGTGTACCTGAGACCCATGTACCTGGGGAGCTACCTGTGTGCTCAGTGGGGAAACACAGCAAGGACCATAGAATAGGTGCTGCCCAGGGCACCTGGGTATGTAGGTAGGGCTGTTTGGTGTGATATAAGCCCTAAAGACCCCATTTAGGAATCTACATCTTCAAAAGGGGTTTCAGCCTCTCCTACCCTCCACTGGGCCAGGTGGGAGCACACAAGTGGGGTGAGAGTCACAGGTTATGGAGGGTAGGGTACTTACCTACCTCCCTCTTCTTGGGGAGCTCTGACCTGTGACTGGCCCGTGGTTTCAGAAACATCAAAACGTCCTTCAGAACAGGTGTGTAAGTGGAAGAAGGCCAGGCAGCCTAGAAGCATTAATGTCCCAGGTTAGCTTGTCCTCACTCGACAAATTTCAGAAAACACAGAAGGGAGAATAGAGTTGCCAATGGTACTTTCATGTGAACGATAAAGGAGCCAAGTCATAAAGGACCCTTTTCTTGGATGAACATCTGTGAAGTGAAAAGACCAAGTCCAGGCACTGCCTCCCACACCCCAGGCCACGGCCGGAGCCCTACTTTGAGAGTTGATCACTTTCCAGAAGAAAGCGACCATCTGTCTAAGCTGGCGTGTGTGTAGGGGGGGTGCTCAGGGGGCTGACTAATAAGGCATTCTTGGAAATATTTCACCTTTATGAGTTAAAATATTTTAAAAACAAGAAAGAACTGTAAAGTCATTCTTTTAAAGTCATTTTAAGAGCCCTGTTGTCGTGGGTTTGAAATGTGTTTAAACGACGTAGTTAAAACTTGAAGAAACGCAGTAAGCCAGGGTGTGCCTGTGGACGATGCTCCCCAGGGTTGCTGTGGCTGAGAAGTGCAGACAGGCCAGGGGCCCCCTCAGGGCTGTGGGCCAGCCCCTAGGTGAGCTGGAGAAGGAGCCCCCCAACCTCCCTGAACTTCCTGCTAACCACACCACTGGCTCCCTTTGGGGTGCTCGCCTCCTCAGAGAGAGAGAGAGAGAGAAAGATGTTTATAAACAGAAAAAAAGCTATTTTAAGAATTATTTATATTTTCTGGATCCTGGAGATGAAGCACTGAGCTCTTTAGGCCTCTGATTTTGCATTTGCTCTTGGGGCCCTCGACACCCATCAGGCTTGCTCACCCTGACTAGTGCATGAGGGTTTCCAAAGACCCCCATTTAAAATAGCAGGGTGGGAAGTAAAATGGCCACCCTGAGCGCTGCAACTCACCTGAGGGGTCGGCATCACACTTCTCTTTTGGGGAGCCATGTGTTTGTGGGTGGGCACAGTTTCTGAGGTTGGTTTTTGGTTTTGGCATGGACATGCTGAGCTGCACACTGCTCTGGTTGCAGCCCATCCTGCTTGTAGGGTCCACTTCACAACCAAATGTAGGAAATAAAAAGTCATGGCAGGCCTGGTGTGTCAGCCTCACTGACTTCCCAGTGCAGGGAGTCACCAGGGTGCAGAGGGCTGCAGTCATAAGGAGAGGCCGAGCCCACCGTTCCTGCAGTTGGCGTCCCAGGACATCCCTTAGGCTAACAGTACTTTCTTTGGGGGAAAAATACAGAAAACCAATTTGCAAGACTGGTGGCCTGTTCTAGTACAATTATAGTGAGAAATGTTCACTATCTATTATTACTTTAGTTCTTTGAGTGAGATCCCAGTTTTGAAAAACTCAAACAGCAAACGTTTGGAGGCACAGAAATGGGTCAACAAGGTTGAGTCTTGGCAGTGGGATGCTGAAGGGTTTTTATTTCCCTTTTTTTTTTTTTTTTTTTCACTTACGTGGGCTCTCATTTCCCTGGTGAACACGCATTGTTGCTAAACAAAGCGGAGTTGCTCCTTGGGAAGCGGAGACAGGTTCAGGCAAGGGCACTTCCCACACCGGTGTGCTTTCTTTTCCAGTGACATATTCGATGCCATGTTCCCTGTCACTCACATTGCCGGGGAGACTGTCATACAGCAAGGTACGTCCCCTTCTCTTTCTCTGAGCAAAGCCAATCTGGGAATCACAGACTATTCACTGAAAAATACATTAACATAAAACTCTCATTGTCCTTGACGAAAGTCACTGTGAGCGCTTAACAAGTCAACCCGATATGTTTCCGTAATCTTGTCAATCAAAAATGTTGAACTGTATTGGAAGCTGGAAATGTGCTAAGGGGGCAGATGAGGTGCCCTTCTGCAAAGCCTTGGTGGACAGGTGAGGAGCTCCTGTCACTGGCTTGACCGCATTAACTGTTTTCACTGTGTCTGTCTAGCAGATGGTCCCTGTTGTGTTCCTTAAATACGTTCAGTTTCTATTTATTTATTTATTTTTAAAAGGCTTTTTTTTTTTTTAAAAAGATTTATTATTTATTTATGCATACGAGAGCTGGGATACAAGCCAGAGTTGGGGGTGGTGGTGAGAGAATTCACCAGAGACAGAGTAGGGAACAGAACAGGCAGACTGACTGAAATACACTGCTGAGGGGAGCACCGGGCGAGACAGGAGAGGTCTGCTACGCCGTGTGGGTTGCTACCTGGCCGGCCGGGGATTGAACCCATGCTGCAGAGGCTGCAAACAGCCCCACAGGCTGCGTCCCAACCCCTTGTGCCACCAGGGAGGCCCTCAGTTTCTATTTAAAAAATTTAAATAAGCAGATGAGACCCACGGTTGGCCGTGGTCTATGTCAAATAGCAATGCAGAATTATTGTCTACGAGAAAAACAGCAATGCTGAGATTCATCTTTGCAATACATGCTTGTATTTTTTGTTTTGCTACAGGGGATGAAGGAGATAACTTCTACGTCATTGATCAAGGAGAAGTAGATGTAAGTATCTCTGAACTGTTTTTGGGAAGTGGCTCTTCTGCGCCTGTCTGGTTTTAAAGACTTTGCAGTCTCTGACAAGCTCTGGTCGAGAAGAACTTCTGAGTGATATGTTTCTAATGTTTTAATCCAGAAAGAAGTATATTGCATTTAAAAGATAACGTCAAAATACCACAGCATGGTTTGAAGTTGGTTCTGCTCCCCCCACTGCAGCCCTGGGTGGTACTGCTTGACCACACTCTGTGTGAATCAGCACCTGTGACCCCCAAGCTTGCCCACGTGGATGTCAGCGCTTTTCAAAGTAGGCAGGAGTTAGATGTCTGATACCCAGAGCTGCTGACTTCTGTACCCAGCATAAGCTCCTATTCTCAGAATGCCTGAGTTTTACTGCCTCTCTTGCAGAATACTGTGTTCTCCTGTCCCTTCAACCTGCCTCTGTTGGCTTTTTTTCACCTGTCTTGACTCTTCTGTGGGGCCGCTGAGATGGTAAAGTCATGCAGGTTCAGAAAGGGGTACCTCTCCTTCAAGCGCCTGTACCAAGTCAGGCCCCTGATGGATAGCTTTGGGCATGCTCCTTCCCGGCCTCTGACTGCTCTCCCAGTGGAACCTGAGTGTATCAGCCTCTTGCTTAGAACCCTTGGAGCCACCACCATAGGAAAGGGCTTTGGTTCCAGGAATGTGCTGGTGCTTTGCTGTCACAGGGCCTTTGCCTATACTGTCCCCTCTGCAGCCTCATGGTTTTCCCTGTGGCCCCAGTGTACAGACTGGAGACCTCTAAGGGCAGGGGCTGTGTCTTCTCTGGCATCAGTGAGGTCTGGCATACAGTCAGCCTATGTCTTCCAGGCCCCACACGCTGCCAGATCCAGTTGCCTCCAAGTTCTGTCCAGGCCTCAGGCACCAGCACTGGGACAGGGCATTAGTAGACTCCACACCCTGCCTTTACAGAGCCCTGTAAAGTAGGGCCTCTCATCTTGCCTCCTGCTGTGGCCTCACCTGCTGCTGTCCGATGATGCCACCCTAATTGTGCTGCCCAGAGAGTTATTTCTGGTCCTGTCCTGTGTCATAGGCTGAACTATTTTGGGAGTGGGCATTTCTTATTGATTTCCCAGCAGCCCACCTGTGTTCACTATCATGCCTGTGTTCTGGAAACCAGAGGAGACCTGAGGTCAGAATCTAGATGGAAGCACAGGAAATGACTCAGCTGGGACCTTAAGGCACATGTCAAGTCACTTGAGGGCTCTCCATTCTAAGCTCCATCCTGAGCCTGAGCCACAGGAACAGACATTTGTGTTGGGTGGAGTGTCTGTCTCGCACCAAAGAAGGAAACTGAGGCAGGAGCTGAAGGCTGGGGCTGCCTGCAGCTGCAGAGGAAGTGTGCGGAGGAGGGAGAATTAGAAGGCAGTGATGGTTCCAGCCCTGGGTGCAGACTGCCAGCCCACAAAGTCAACTCCGGCTGGCTTTGCTTTGGGTTAAAAAAAAAATACCAGCCCAGGAAATAGAGAAGACAGACTGGATGTGGCCAGCATCCTGCTGGGCATTGTCCTTGGACCTGGCCGTTACTGGAGCTTCTCCTGCTTTCAGAGCTCAGGGAGAGAGCTGGCCCCTGGGATATTGTGGGGTCAGATGCTTCCTGGTTCTAAACCAGGTCTTCCTACCTGGCTCCCATCTCTCATGATGTGACCCTTTTCCACCTTTTTCTCGATCCTTCATTGTTCTCCAACTTCACCCTCTGCCTCCTTCCCTTTGTTTTCTTGCACAAATGTTTATTGAGCTCTTGCTGTATGCTTGGCTCCAAAAACACCTATGGGTAAGTGTGTGTGTAAGTAATATGGCCCCTGCTCTCAGTGGGGTCATAGGTAGTCGGGGAGATGGACAATAAGCAGGAAATTCAAAGATGAGTGTCTTGCCTCCAGTTCTTCTTTTTTTCATTTCTGTCCTGTGCTGCAGACTCCTATTCATGCTTCAAGACCCTGCCTGGCCTCAGCCCCTCCCCTCCAGGTGGAACCACATCCAGCTCTCCCTCCTACTGCTCCCCTACTGACACGTTCCCCTCAGCCAGGAACACCACTCAGATTTTGGCTCTTGCATTTTGTCCCTCACAGGTTCTTTCCTTTCTATGTTTAATTAAGTTATATGAATCTTCAAATTAAATTCCAAAGACATCTTCAAAATGCCAGCTAGAATCACCGTTTGGAGCAGAAAGTTGGCACTTTGAAGAATTGACCAGGGACAGCCAGGATGGGTGGGTTGGGAATAGTGCAGGGAGGCATGCCTTTTGTTCATTTGGGGATGGTGCCCTGAAATCTCCCTTCTTTCCTTGCCTTGGTATGACTTAGTGTCTTCTTATGGGCTGTCCCACCTCCTCACATGTTCTGAACCTATCCTGGCATCTGTCCAGACTTACTCAGGCCCAAAAAGATGGCACGTTCCTTGTAAACTATAAAGTACCCCATTGTCCCACCCCACTGACCCCCAGTACCCTCATCTGTCACTGGAAGAAAGTGGCTGGCTTGGTCTCCTAAGGACAGGAGTGGCTCATCCCAGCAGCACCCCTCCTAGTCCTGATGGAACCTTACAGAGCCAGGCCCTGGGGCCTCACTAGGATAAGGATCAGGGCTGATGCCTGAGTCAAAGGGCAGTTCCAGCCTCCCTTTTAGCCAACTGCCCGTCCCTGGCTGCCTTTCAATGCCGAAGTGTTGTAGCTGGCTTCTCTCCAGGCCAGGGATTTGTGGAGGCAGTTTTGGAAGGGAAAAAGTGAAGTCACCTTCTCCAAACCAGAATCCCCCAAATATATTGTCTTGGCAGATCCAGGCTCCCCCCTCCCTCTACCCCCGGCCCCATCCCTGCAGCAGCAGTTCACGTACAAAGGCAGCTTGAAGGCTCCCTGAACCCAGCTTGCTTGAGCCAGGATGTCTAGGCACCGTGGGCAGACCCCCTACTTCCTGGCTGCTGTCTCAATTCGGGACAGTCAGGCCCCCAAATGGAACAAGGCAATGACTTATGGGGCCATCCTTTGATGCCCACCTATGCCATGCACCTCCATCAATCTCTGTGGATTTTCCAGCCGGGACGGGTGGGCGTCAGGGAGTGCCTGGGGGGGTGCTGAGTAAAGGGGGCACTCCTGTGATGTGGGAGGCACTGGGAACACAGGATAAACACCCGGGGTCAGCAGAGCAGCAGTGTGGGTGAAGGCCACATTTAAAGGAATCAAAGATGCTCAGTAAGGAATCTGGAATGAAAAAGTGGCATGTTGGCTCGCCGGGTGAGTTATGGGGATATATATTATAATAATGACTGTTATTACTGCTCCCGGGTAGGAAATTGCAGCAGCTCCTCTGAGGCCCGCGAGCGCATGTTTGCTCATTTCTGTAAACTACTTTCCAGGGGGCAGGGGATGACCTGGCCAGGGCATGTGGACCATCGAGGCCTATTGTGAGGCTTCTGAACATGGCTTTTAGGGCTAGAGTGATACCAGTTTCATTAGGGCAGGAGGGAGGGGAGCTCATGCCCAGCCTCATTATTGCCCCAACAGGCCCACAACCCAGCAGAAGGTAGGGCCCTTCCAGGAACACACCTTCTGGCCCTGTAAGGCTGGGGTTTGGTGTGGACACCCTGAGCATCCCTCCCCTTCTGCAGATGCACATTGCCCTAAGATCAGGGGTACCCTAAGAGGCAGCCCGGTGACCGAATGCCAAAAGTATCAGGTTCGGTTCAAATTATGGTTTTCCAGAGAGACGCAGAAAGTGCCTGCTGCAGTGTGTGTGTGTGTGTGTGTGTGTGTGTGTGTGTGTCTGTGTGTGTGGCCAAGGGCTATAATCCATTTCTCTAAATATAAAAATATCTTCCAACTTGTTTTATTCGTGGAACATAGCATTTTTACTTGAAAGGATACTCAGCTGCCCATTTCATGACTCAGGAACTGAGCTCCCTTTAAGGCTGGTTCCTTCCTAATCCTGCCAGGCCTTTGTTGGGCAGGGCCTTTCCTTACTGCGGGATCGCCCCATCCCAGCCCCGCCCCTGCACAGCTCTAGGTTGCACACCAGGCCTCTGTTCCCAACCTTCAAAGGTGGGAGTGACCTCTGAGCTGCCCAGCGTCCTCAGGGACAGGATGTTCAGGGCTTGGCCATCTGGCTCCATAGTTGAGGCCCTTTGTTATTCAGTGTGTGCCCGGGGCTCTTTGGTTTTTTTGTTTTCTGAATTGGTAAAATATAGCAAAATGTTCACGCCACTGTTCTGAAGTACAGTTCTCTGGTATTAAGTACGTTCAGATTGCTGCGTAGCCGTCTCCACTTTTCATCTGCAGAACTGTTTCTGTCTTCCCAAAATGAAACATCAAGCATGAACTCCTCACTTCCCTCCCCCAGCCCCTGGTGCTTACTGTCCATTTTCTGTCTCTGAGTTTGGTAACCCCGGAGACCACATCTGAGTGGAATCATACAGAGCTTGTCCTCTTCTGTCTGGTTTATTTCTCTGAGCACATGTCTTCAGTTATTCATCCATGTTGTAGCTGTGTCAGAATTTCCTTCCTTTTTAAGGCTGAATAATATTCCATTGTATGACCGGACCACATTTCCTTTATCCATTCATCCACCAGTGGACATTGTGTTATTTCCACCTTTTGGCAATTGTGACCAGTGCTGTTGTGAATGTGGATGTGCCAGTTTCTGTGCTGTACAAGAAGGTCCTGCTTCCAGGGTGTTCTCTGGTAACTAGTCATTTTAGGGGTACTGTGTGGGCCAGAGCTGGCTGTGAAGTTTTTCTCCTGTACTGTGGAGCCCCCCAAACACCATCTTACTCCAAACTTAGGTGAGGATCCTGTCAGAATCTTGCCTTGTAGGAGGTCTATGGGATTGGGGCTAAGGGCAGAAGGAGGGCATGGTGGTGATGGATTTGGGGTTCTGCAGGTCTGCCTGGGAGGTGAAATAGAACCCACATGGTTGTTCTACATGACCCGGTTCAGGGGAGAAGTGGAATTTCCAGACTGAGCAGGGAGAGGCAGGTGGACTTGGCCGTGCCGTCCAGGGTAGACATGGGGAAGCTGATTTACCTGGTCACAGGTGCTCACTCACCTGCACAGGTGCTCTCCTGCTCTTCGTCGCAGGAGCCTGGGAATCCAGGAGGGGATGGGCCATTAGCTTTTTCTCACCATCTCTGCAGCAAAAACAACAGTCTTATAGCATGCTTGAGTTACTTCTCTGTGCAGGCTGTGACAAGTCAGCTTTGGGCCAAGTGTGAAACGAATGTGGGGTGCCGAGGCCACACAGCCCCTCTGTCTCCATTAACTGGGTAACTCAGGTGACTGGGCTTTTGTCTTCACTAACCCAGAATGTTCTTTCCATACCCTGTAGCTTTTCTGTGCAGTCACGTTTGTTGAGCTCAAATGCCCCAGGTTGGGGGGCAGCTGTGGCCACTAGTCTGAGCACAGGGTAGAGGTTCAGCCCCAGCTGCCTGTCTGTTGGATTTTGGTAGGGGGGGACATGGCTGAGTGGATGATGTTCACTCAGCTCTGGTCTATATCTGAAGTCCTTGTAGTAATAATATCCAGTCTACCTTTGACCACAATGCTGGGGTTTTGTGTTTTGTTTTTTTTTAAGATATATTTATTTATTTATACAAGAACCGGGGTATAGGCCAGGTGCGTGGGAGGGTGAGAGGATTCACCATAGACAGAGTGGGGAACAGAACGGGCAGACTGACGAAATACACTGCTGAGGGGAGCAGCGGGCCCGACAGGAGAGGTCTGCAGCGCCATGTGGGACCCTTGCCATCCGGCCGGGATCGAACCGGCGCTGCAGAGGCTGCGGACAGCTTCACAGCACTGCGCTCAACTGCCTACGCCACCAGGGGAGGCCCATTGTTAAGCAGCTGCTACATATGCCTTTAATCCAGTCACTGTCCCCACCTCCATCCCTGCCAAAGCTGGAGTCAGAGCTCTGCAGCTTGGCTCTGTGTCCAAATCACCTGTGAAAATACCCCAACCCCGGGGAGTCTGATTCAGGAGATAGATTAGCATTCTGCTAGTTCTGGTGCCAGGTCTACACACCACCTGTTGGGTGACCGGGTCAAGGGCTGTGTCTCTTGAGCACTTGGACATTCGTCTCTTCCTCTATGCTTCCCTCCAGCTGCCCTGGGCTGGGCTCCACACTGCACCAGAGGGAGCATCACATGTGAGCAGATGACATCAGTCTCCGGGGACCTCCTTAGCTTCCAGAATTACATCTACTCCTTCCTTTCTTCCTGCCCCATTGGCACCTCTTCCCCTTGGTCTTCTTGCTGCATCCGATACCCTCCAATTACCAGTCCTACCATGGGACCTTTGCTCGTCCAGACATCCTGTCTTACTGCCTGACACTTTTTTCCCCCAAATCTCTGCACTGATGGCCTCTGGCCATTCAAGGTTGGGCTCAAACTCAGCTCCTTGGAAGGGGAGCACTCTGAACCCCATCTCTGTGGTGGCTTTTTCTCCAGAATTCTCTGCCCCACTCTCTCAAAGGCTTAGAGGTTTTACCATGTGTCTGTGTGGTGATTTGCCTCCAGCTCATCCCTTGGTTGTTGATAAGTCCCCTATAAATAGGAACTCTTATTGCTGAACCCCAGCAGTTAGAACCATGTGGCACTGAGGGGCACTCAGCACACACGGGGTGAACGAGTGAATACACAGCAGTGGAGAAACTGCAGTCCATGGTAGGGATGAATGTAGCCTGGTTGGGGGGGGGGTAACCATTTTGCTTTAAAAAAAGAAGAAGAAAAAACAAAAAAACGAGACAAAGCAAGAAGTAGCCCCTTTGGGTACCAGCTGGGGTGGGGCTAACTACGCGCCAGAGTGGTGACAGAGGCCAGTGTCCTGAGAAGGATGGGCCCTTTGTGTTCTGTGGGTCAGCCCTGCCTGGCTGAGGCTCTGCACAATGGTTTTCTCTGACACCGCAGAGGGAGCCAGGCTTCTTGGAGAGGAAGGGGGTTCTCATGGCCCCCACGCCATGCACTCTGGGCCTCAGGACCCCTTGGCCATGCCCACAGCAGCAGTCCCCTCCCCCCTTTGGTGCCTTAGTGAAGTTGGGGATTCAGCCACCAGGGCTGGGCGCTGAGAAGACATCCTCCGCTCTTTCCTGAGTCCTCATGCTCTGGAAGGGGGTTGGGAGTCCGGTCTGCTCCCCGCAGCCCAGCCATTCAAGGGCGTGGCTTCCCCATTTCCCTAAAGTGCGAGTGGAGAGACTTCGCAATCCTTTTCAGTGCCTCGCAGGGCCTCCGTGGATGTAGACCTGTGGTGGGTGTTGGCGGAGGGCTGTTTGTACCAGGGCTGGACCCCCAGCGCTGCGGTGTTTAGCACAACCTGCTGAGGCTGAGCCAATGCGTGCACCCTGCACCAAGCAGATGCCACCCAGACATTTGTCTGGAGTTGAGGGCATGTAACCCTCACCAGACAGTGTTGGTGGCAGCTGTGACACAGTCCCATGGCCTGTGACATCCAGAATGGATTTCTGTTACATGGCCACCATGAAAACCTAAGCTGACAGCCCACAGACACATCGAATAAAAGAAGGGTGTGTGATTCCCCTGAGAACTGGGGTGATTAATCTTCAGGGCCCTGTCACCTGGGACGGCAACAGGAACCTTTAGTTCCTTGATCTGAATGGTGAAAACCCTTAGGATCTGAGCCTGTAATGAGCTTTACTGACAGGATTTTACAAACACCCAAGCACAGCAGGCAGAGGGCCGGCTGTGAGCCAGGGATAGCAGAAGGCAAGAAACAGAAGTTCCCCATGAACATTCTGGGGGAGCCGGCCCTCTCTGCACATCCCTCCGTGTCTGTGGCACAGCCGGATGGACAGGACACAGGTTTTCTGGTTCCTGAGGGCGTTGTCCACGGAAAGCTGGGTTTCTTTTCAAGTCTACCTGACTTCCTTCCAGGAACATTTGGCTGGCGGCGATGAGATGAAGAAGGAGCCGGGCCACCCCGGGCTAAGCCTGGGCAGTGGAGCTGGCAGGCTCCTTGGGTAGGCAGAGGCAGTTAAAGGTAGACACAGGTGCTTCTAGGTTGGGCTCTGCCTTTGCACACCTGTCATCTCCATTTCCCTTGAGACTTTGTGGTCGACGACGTCTTCCCTGACCCTCGCTTGCACAAGTGATGGAGTTATCACCTGCATGGTATTTGCTTGCAGAGGCAATTCTGTACATCAGTTATTATCAAGATAATGAGTCATTGATTTCAATAAGAATTGCTTCCATGATTCATCGCAATCCATTCTTTCCTGATATGGACCCATTTTGCCAATGGGAACTATTCTTTAAGCTCATTGACTTGCTGAGAGGATAAAGAGAGCTTTGTGTCAATTATAGTAACCGAATCTGCATCAGCATGGCATAATAAACAATCTGCAGTATTCTTGCACGGATCCGGAACGTGCACCGTCAATGCATAGTAGGCACACTTGACGGGGGGGAGGGCGCAGCCCACGCAGGCTGAAAGGGAATCTTGTCCTGGGTGATTCTCTACACAGCAACTCAGCAGTGCGGGCTTTACTCCCATTGACTCTGGTCCCAGGCTGCCTGGGAGCTGTCCAGTTAGCATGGTGTCTTCTGGACCTGGAGCAGGGTGTGCTGGTAGTGGTAGGGGTGAGGGGCCCACGCTGCTCAGGTGGAGGTATTGAGTGGCCAGAAGAAGGGGCAGTTTGTGAATGAAGAAGGCAGACATGGAGGTGCTGCTTGTGTGGGAGCAGAGACCAGAGCAGGGATGCTCATGGAAAGTGTCAAGCCCAACTCACTGGTGCAGTTAGAGAAACTGATCCCCATCAGCAAGGTCTAAGGTTGACAAGGAATCATATTAAAGGCCCACCAGGGAGGCAGACAGGGCTTGCTCTGCCAGGAGACCAGGACAGTGCTTCCATCTTCATCCTTGGCCAGTCTCATTGGCACTGACAGTGGAGGACCCATCTGTCTTTGAGGGTTTTTTTTATGCATACAAGAACTGGGGTACAGGCTAGAGGTGCGGGGCGTGAGAAGATTCACCTGAGACAGAGTGGGGAACAGAACAGGTGAATTGACTGAAGTACACTGCTGAGGGGAGCAGCGGGCGAGTCAGGAGAGGTCTCTCTGCACAGACGCCATGTGGGCAGCTCTCTGGCCGGGGATCAAACTTGTGCCGCAGTGGCTGTGAACAGCCTCATAGGTTTCGTCTTAACCCCTTGCGCCACCAGGGAGGCCCTGTCTTTGAGGTTTTGACATAAGGACTAGAAGGTGCCACTGGCCTGTCCAGCTGCAGCTCTGGAGAAGGCTTGAGGTGAGGGGTGCACAATGGCTGACAGATTCAGACCCTGCCAGGGCAAGCAAGGGGGAGGCTTGGGAGTTCTGCCCACAAGCAGGGAGCCCAGGGGCTGCAGTGGGGCCTGCCCTTCTTGCAGGAGCCCTTCTGAACAGCACTGAGGGAAACGACCATGTGACCTACATGCCCCCTGACCTTTCTCTTTCTGTTGCCTGAAGGTATATGTGAATGGAGAGTGGGTGACTAGCATCAGCGAGGGAGGCAGTTTTGGGGAGCTGGCTCTGATCTACGGCACCCCCAGGGCAGCGACGGTGAAAGCCAAGACCGACCTCAAGCTCTGGGGCATCGACCGGGACAGCTACCGGCGCATTCTCATGGTGAGCACCCCTGCAGCCTGTGCCTGCCACGCCTGCTCCCTATAGAGGGCATGTGAGGTGGGTGGAAAGTGTGGGAAGGATTCTGGAAACTTCTTAAAAGGCAGCTAGATTCCTGGGAAGTCCCTTTTACCCTCCTCCCCTATCCCCTTCCAACTTTCTGGAATGGGGTATGGTCTCCATGATTAGAACTCCAGCTGCATCAGGGACCATCTTGTGCTCGGACTAGAACAGCAAAGAGGGCTGTGGTGTAGACCTAGAAAGCCCAAGAAGTGGTCTCCTTGGAAGTGAGTCAGCCTGCTAGGGCCAGGGGACAACACCGTGAGCAGGTCATACTGGTGGGGCTAGATCCCAAGCTGGGCCCATCCTGGAAGGATTCTTAGGAAACCAGGCTTTGAGAGTGAAACCCATTCATTCATTCATTCATTCAGACCAGTGGGTGGTGGAGCAAAGAGATGCTTGCAGCCTGGCTCCCTGGTGGCCTGGAGGATACTGTACCAGGCTGGACTACTTGCCTGTGCACTTCCTGCTGTGGGGACTGACCCTGGGTGTTTTAAACCACATCGGCTTAGGTTTCCTCTCTCAGCTGGTGCGGAGTGTCAGTGGGCACACACAGGCAGGTCCACTGCAGCTTGTTAGGATGGTCCCAAAGGCCCCAGGGGCACGAACTTGTTGGAATGCTTGTGGATGGCAGGGAGGCTGTTATGGGTGGGGAGCACCCCAGGGGTCACCGTTGTCACAGGGGCCTCAGTCCCAACTGTGCGCATACTGGGGCGTCTGTGCAGAGAGTGACATGATTCTTTGAAAACCAGCTGGTGGTGGAGCAGATCTCAGAGCCCCGCGGGCTGCCCTGCTGGAGGGATGACCCGGCTTCAGGCCTGGGGCCCCCTCCCCTGCTGCCTTGTGGAAATAAAACATACAAATCTGGAAAAGGCAAAGTTTGGGGCAGTTTGGGGCCGCCCTGTGAGGGGGAGAGAGTCCCACAGTGACTCACTCTGGAAGGATAGGGAGGAAAATAAAAATTCTACGCTGCCCACGCTGTCTGGAGGAATCCCCTCACAGGTCACCGGGCAGAGACTGGGGAGGCGTGTGCCTCTCTTTTGGGAAGTCATGCTCCTTGGCCTTCTGTGCTCACCCAGTGGTGGCGGGTCCTGGCCTGTTCTGAGGTGACTGGGTGGTCTGGGGTGCCTGGTAGTGGTGGGCTGTTGCTGATGGCAGAGCCAGGGGTGCACTCTGATGGTGGTGTTCGCACAGAGCCAGCGCCTTTGGGCTTGGGCTTGGAACAGGAGTCGGACAGCAGGACCCTGGTGACAGGCTAGCATGTGACCTGAGACCTTTGGCCTCTCCTCATTCCCATCCCTGGGGCCAGTCCCATGCCGGGGACGGAACTTGAACCTCTCTGTGCTCGCTGCCACCTGTCCAGCAGAGCCTTGTTTGTCTCTTGAAGGTCAGCCTGGGGGTACAGTGTGCAAAAAGAGGGCTGTGGTTTGAGCTTGCTGGATGGGAGGCCGGTGAAAATTCAGGGTATGAGCTCAGTCATCGGTGAGTCTGAAGAACAAGTCCTGTCCCACTGGCCCCATCCAAGCATACCAAAGGGAGCCAGGGAGTGGTTTGTGTCCTGGTGGCTGTGATGCCTGGGGCTTTCGTGATGCAGGCTCAGGGGGACTACCTCATTGGGCTTCTTGCTCCTGCACTTAGCCAGCATGGATATCACCCACCATGTGCCAGGCCTTTCAAGTTTCTGGATGCAGTAGGGAAAAGCAGTGCAACATCCCTACCCCCTTGGAGAAAGAATTCTAGTGCAGTGCATGTTCTGTCTCAGACCTGCTAACCCCATACTCACTGCTGGGAGAGACACTGTCTGTCCCGTGGGAGGGGTATGGGCAGTTTTGGGACAATGAAGAGGAGGCAGCACTTCCTGCATCCTCTGGATGCACCTGGTCCTGGGTTCCATAATCCCCTATTTCTCTCCATTGTCCACACTGAGTCCATCTTGATTGTGGGATTTTTGTGGTTGGAACCTTATATTTGGGGACGTTCCCAAACCACTGAGGGAGCAGGCGCTTCCTCTGTTTTAATTCTGGATCCCTGTGCACTAAGAATAGTGGTGACTGTGCTCATAGTCTGCAGAGCCCCATGTGTCTTGGGAGAGAAAATGACAGAGCGGCCACCTCGGAAGGGTGTGTCTTGCAAGAATGCATCCGTTTTTACATCAGTCCTTGATTTTGGCAGATTTGGTGCCTTATCCTGCCAATGGACCTGCCATGTGTCCACTTAGCACTCAACTGGAAGATGCCACTAGTGTCTCCAGAGGGAGGGTCATCTCCCAAGATATTTGCTCAGACTCAAGTTGTTGGAATCCCAGAAGATTCTCCCTTCCATTGCTCTGGGTTGTACAGAGGCCAGGATGGGGCTCGGTGAGGTTAAAACCCTTGCTCACCTTCCCCAAAGGAGCCAAAAACGGTCATTGAGCTGACATTGGTCAGATGACACAGCAATGTGTCACCAGATGACACAGCAATGTGTCATCCCTGCGCCCCCAACCCTCCCTGATTTCTCCCACCTCAGCTTTTTTTTTTTTTTTTTTTTTTTTTTGAGCTCTCTGTGGCTTTAGGCTAGGCTTGTGATAAAACAGTTGCAAGTTTCAATTTTATAATCTATAAGGTATTTTATCTACCAGAACAAAAACCCAAAGACTCAAGACCACCTAATACCTGGGCCAAGGCGACAGAAGCTTCTGCACTATGATTAGATGGCGGCCATGGCGTGGGCATCCAGTTTCTGCACTGCCTAGAAGGGACTCCAGTTTCTGCACTGCCTAGACTCTGTGTTCACTGCCACTATCATCTTCATTACCATCACCACCACTATCACCACCACCTCAACACTACCACCATCAGCACCACTACTTCACCACCACCCTCACTATTACCACCAGCAGCAGCAGAACAGAAGGGATTTGTTCAGAGATTGCATACATCCTTCCATTTATCTCCCATTTGTTCATCATGGTGTTCTGTCTTGAGGTGTTGCAGGAATTCAAAAATAATACACCAGGAAGGTGGTACTTTGATATTGTAGAGCCTAGTCTGGGTTTCTATTCCTGCTTCCCTGATTCCTGTCCGGGGTGATCACTTGGTGATAACTTGAGCCTCTGTGGCCTCTGGGGTGAGGGTCAGAGCAGCTCACCACCAGGACTTTTGCCAGCTTGATGCCAGTTGGAGTGAGTGTCTGAAACACAAAGTCACTCTGACTTGGGTATGTTTTCATCATGCTGTTCCTCCCCTGCCTCCTTCCCCAAGGCCACTGGTGGATCTTGCCTCTTTATCCTGTTCACATTCCAGGTGAACCAGGAGCCATTTAAAAAAATTTTTTTAACGATTTATTTACTTGTACAAGCACTGGGTACAGTCAGAAGCGCGGGAGGGTGAGAGAACTCACCAGAGCCAGAGCAGGGAGCAGAACAGGCAGACGGACGAAGCACACTGCTGAGGGGAGCAGCGGGCGGCAGGAGAGGTCTGCGCACCACGTGGGACTCTTGCCTGGTGGCCTGGGATCGAACCTCTGCCCTGCAGAGGCTGCGGGCAGCTTTACAACCCAGCGCTCAACCGCTGTGCCACCAGGGAGGCCCCGCCATTCGAATTTTTAACAAACCAGGCTTGCTGCTCTACTGCACACCTGTTTCCTGTATGTGCAGTGCTTAATCACACGCATCAGTGGATTTTCGTGTGCATGATGAGGTTTGTACATGGTACACACCGTGCACAGTGGGGCAAGAGGAGCCAGGATCCAGACTCCTCTCTGCCCACAGGCTGTGTGGCCAAGAGCAGGGCTGCACTCTGCTTGGCACAAGGGCCTGCCAGCGTGCTGAGATGCATGTTTGGGAGGGCTGCCCTTTCTACTTTTCATTTCTAATTCTAGTTTCTGCAATGAGTGCTCATTTCTAATTCACATGAAGGCAAAAGGAGCCCTGTTCACTGGTTTTGTATTATTCAGCAAGCTTTTGATTGGGGAAAAGTCCTTCAGTGTCTCTTTTCACTGAGAACCAGCATCAGGCAGTTGGATCCAGGGACATTAGCCCGTGTTGGCACTCTCCCTTCCACATCACACACTTGATTCTGTGTGTTGGCCCTGGTGTCTCTTCATACAGGTGTGTGGGGAGGGGAGTTGTGAGGGATCCAGCACTGACCATCCACCTCCTGGACACCCCTATTTAGCATGTAGAAACCCCAGTTCGGGGCTCTGATGGACTGGGTGCTCGAGAAAGGTGTGACTGGCGGAGGGAGGCGGAGCTGGGCCTCACAAAAGAGACAGCTCATTCAGACCAGGGCCACTTGAGGGGCTTCTGGGACATGGAGTGCTCGAAGGGTGTCCTTTTAAGAGTTACTCATTTGGGAAATGTGGAAATGATTCAGGTACGCAGACCCACTTTCTTTGTGTTTTCCTTTCTCCCACACAGGGCAGCACACTGAGGAAGCGCAAGATGTATGAGGAGTTCCTAAGCAAGGTCTCCATCCTGGGTCAGTGTCATATCCCTTGCTCCCACTTGGCCATCTGTCCCCAGGTGGCCTCCTCTGGTCTCATCTGAGCACCACCTGCCAACCAGTCTCAACCGTTCCCACATTTCCTATCTGGCTGGCAGGTTGAGTGTTCTTGGTGTATGCAGGTTTGGTATACAAACACAGGTATGTACCCACACAGGGACACACACACACATGCATGTATGCACACACAATACAATTACATGCCTATACACACGTGCATACACAGCACACATGTGTCTGCACATGTGTGTACATGGTAAGCATGCGTGCACACATGCATGCAAGTATATATGAACTTCACATACGCCTACATGCTTGCACACACATAAACACTGTTGGTAGAACTCAGAAGTCTGTGTCCACCCCTCCAGAGCACCAGGTATCTTTCGTGGGGTGTCTGTTCTCCATCTGTGTGCTTTGCTTGTCCATTGCTCCCTCCACCACAATGCCATTCTCCCCACATTGCCCCATGTCGGTTGGCTTTGAGATACAAGTTCACTTTGGGCTCTAGTCAGTGTGACCAGCTGTGCTGAACTCTTTCCTGATCTGTTTTGGTTTTTCTCAGCCTAGTTTCTCCTGATGCCATCCCCATCATTCTTTTCCTGAGGTCTGATATACACACTGGCTACATTTGTATTGATTTCCAGGAATGTCAACACAGCTCTCCAACCATAGTTTTTGGGTGTTATGAAATCGCTGGAACGACATGACAGTGCCATGTATTGTTTTACACCAGCCATATCCAGAACTTCCAGTGACTATGAAGTTGTTCCACATCTGTGTTGAGCATTTGCAATGTGGCAAGTGGGATCCAGAGACTGAATTTTAATTTTATTTCATGTAATCAATTTAAATATGCATAGACCCATGTGGCCAGTAGCTCCACATTGGGCAAAGCTCCTCCTGACCATGGGAGGGTCACCTACCCCACACAGGGAGTGACAGAGCCTGAGTGGTCAAGCTCTGGAACCACTGGAAATTGCCATCCAACCTTTTTGCAATATCATTCCCAACCTTAAACATCCTTAGCCAGACTTCTGGGACAAGATGGTGAGTAAGGCATAAGCTCATTTTCTCAGACCCTAATGGAGTGAAGAGAAAAAGATATAGAGACAGATACACAACCTTGGGTGTGAAAGGTGTCATCCCCTGGCACTCATCTTCCTGGATGATGGCAGGAGATCGGACTGCATCGGGATCATGGCAGTTCCCAGGCTGTTCCACATGTCGTTGGGACAGCCCCCTTCTAGGTGCATGATCCTGGAAGACACTGTCTCAGCCCTGGAGCAGCCTGTTTTTAGCTCCCCTACCCAACCCCTCAGCTCGGGTTACAGAGATGTGGAAAGTACTCACTGCCTACCCTTCAAACTGAATGTCAGAGGGAAGGGGACGAACTTCCCAGCCAAACTGCCTTGTCAAACTTCAACCAGCTGGAAAGAATGAAAAAATGACCTGATCACTGTGCAACCCAGCCCCAGTGCAAGAACTAAAAGAAGCAAACAATAGATGGGAAAGAACTCAGTCAGCAAGAAATGATAGCCAAAGAAACAGAAACAAATTCCAATATAGAACTTATTAAGAACACAAATTCAATAGAACAAGAACAGAGGCCTAAAGAGAAAACTAATAGAGCGAGATTAAAAATTAGATGGAATAGCTAAGGAGACAACTCAAGGACCCCAATAAAACCTCGGGAATAAATTAGGGTTGTTAAAACAGGATAGATGTAACTGATGCTGGGAAGTCTAGATCTTTACTTTGAGAGTTTTTCACAGGGATGTGAAGTGATGCAGATATGGATGTTCACACCAGCAATTCTTTTTCCAATTAAAAAAATGGAAACAACCAAAAATTCTTATTAGAGATCCTGCATGTTTGTGTGATGCAGTTTTTATAGCCATTAAAGTGAATAAACTAGATCAACACATTTCTCAGACACAATAAATGGCTCACACAGGTGCTACATGTTCAGCATTTTGGCAGCACGATACAGCCTTTGTGAAATTACGAAGGAATCAGCTCACCCATCGGAAGGGAATCCCGAAATCTTTTCTTTAATGAAAAACAGGGTTTTGTGGGTTTTTTTTTTTTTTCCCAACAAACCCTTGAGCCATAGCTTCTAGGGTAAGAAAAATCAGTTTGAAAGTGATATAAGGGGTCCTTGATTTTATCAGGAATAATATTTGCTTTTAAAATGGATCTGAAGCAATTACGACAAAGTCTTCCTATAGCTTGATTCAGTACAGATGTTGGTTATATTATTCTGTCTTCTATTCTGATTTTTTTTTCCCAAATTAAAAAAATTGGAGATGACTACAAATGGAATTAGTGACTTGGAGAAGTGTCGGGAGGTGCTGTGGAAGGCAGAGGGGAGCCAGACATGGCAGAGCCGGAGAGAAGGCATAGCAGACGTGGCTCACTGTGGACCAGGCCTGATGTGGACAGGACGGAATCCTCACAGAGGAAGCCTCCCCCTGTTCCATACACAGAACTGAGCCAGCAGAAGGCAGGACTGAGCTTCAAAGAGAGGGCCAGAGACTCCTGACTTCTGAAGTACTGAAGACAGAGCTCAGGAGGGGAAGAAGAAGCATGCAGCCTTGAGGGGCGGGGTGCTTGCAGGCCAGACCAGGTTCAAGTTGCTGAAAGCAAAGGTCACAGGAGTTCAGGGGACCCAGCACTTAACTGATGTTCAGCTCTTAGGAGACAGATGAAATTCAAAGGAAATCAGGGCAAAGGATGAATTTTCCACAGGGGAGGCCTGGCCATATAGCTTTACTTATTTGTTAGCAGCACCTAAGAATGTAGCAAATATGGGACAACAGAAACCTGGCTGCTCGGTTCCATACGGGGCGTAAATAAGCCTGACCTAAAACTCCAATATCTATCATATTAATTGAGCCCTGTGAAACGGCCCAGTTTCTACCCTTCGAGCCCAGTACGAACGGGTGGAGCAGGTGGAGTGGTGTCCCTCAGTAGACCCTCAGGCCCATTCCCATATGATTGTCACCCCAAAGCTGGCAACTCCCCTTCTTGGGAAGAATCTCTCTGAGCCCAGTCCTCTCTGAATCCTCCCTGAAATAAGAGAAAGCCATGACTCTTATTTCGTAAAATGTGCACTAGCCACATTTAACCACTTTCACATGCAGGGCATGAAGTACATTCACGGTGTTGTGTATGCATTGCCAGTGTCTACTTCCAGAATTTTCTCATCACCCCATCCCCATGAACAGTCATTCCCTCTCTTCCCCCCTGGGCCCTGGACCCCCACTCTCTGCTGCTTCTCCCTGCATTGTACCTATTCAGGACATGGCACAGGAATAGAATCCTACACTTTCGTGGCCTTTTGTGTCTGGCTCTTTCTGGTATTTCTCTTTTAAAGTCTACTTGGCTAAAAAAAATATTGGCCACCTCATGGGTTAGTCCCCAAGGTCTTGCAGGGGCTGAAGGAAGGGGTATTTTAGCTCCATGTTAAAATCCCAAACTCTGGGACCTTTGCAGTCTTCTCCTATCTCCTATTTGCTTTCAGCCAGAGCAGGGAGGGCGAGGTCCTGGCCCAAGTGTCACCAGCATGCATTGGTCACCTTCCCAAATTTGTCACCCACCCGGTCACCCCAGATCCAATGATGACAGCACCTGGAAGGTGCTCTGCACCTGGAAGGCAAGAGTGGTGTAGAAACCAGCTCTGAAGTGACAACTGTGACAACTGCACCTGGAAGGCAAGAGTGGTGTAGAAACCAGCTCTGAACTAAGCAGATGAGGCTTCTCTGTGGAGTAGGCAGAGTCCAGGCTGGAGGGGTTTCTTCTAACATTGTGGCTTTCGTGGGCCTGTCAGATGTTCTTACAGCTTCTGGTCAGCCTCTCTCTCAGGATCTGTTTCCCCCGGAGTGCCACCTGCCACTAGCTTCTCCGTGGCCTTGGGAAGGAGTGACAATCAGACTCATCTCTTCATCCATTCAGTCACATTAGCTGCACAATGTCCTCAAAAAAGCAGCCAGCGTCTGGCCTTGGTAGGCGGGAATCCTTTCTCAGCACCTGGTGGAGGATGTGACCTTGGTGTTTCTTCCCTCCAGTTAAATGTTGGCAGTGGTCATTGTGTGTTTTGTGTCTGAGGTTCTGGCATTTCCTCATAAACCTGGACGGTTAGTCACATGATGGGCACTGAGCTTGGAGGTGGTGCTGCTGCAGGGCAACTGGTGCCAGGTGAGGTGTGAACCCCAGGATTCTACTTCCAAGGTTTGTGCGGTTGATTCCCCTTTCCCAGGAGCTGCGTCGAGGACCTCCTTTTTCATGCTTACCCACTTTGCTTTGTCTTGTCTTCGTACTATAGGCTGGCTTCTATGCGAGGCTTTGGGGACCCTGGCTGGAATTTACCCTGCATCCTTTCTGTGGTGTGGAATCGAAAATCCCTCTCTGAACAGGGTTTATTAAAGCGGAACCACCCACAGCGGGTTGCATGGAGCTGACCTTTGGCATCTGGAACTCAAGGGCACAGGAATTTGAATTGCAATAAAAATGGCCCAAATGTTGCTGTGTTTCCTGAGTTGAAACCCAAGTCAGGGATTTGCAACATTTGAAAAACGGGCCAATAAATTGCCATTTCCCCCCAGTTTCTCCTGACATTTCTCTCCTCAGATTTGTGTTGTCAGGGAATATCTTGCTTTTTATTTTATTTTTTTTTTAAAGATTTATTTATTTATTTATACAAGCACTGGGTACAGTCAGAAGTGCGGGAGGGTGAGAGAATTCACCAGAGCCAGAGCGGGGAGCAGAGCAGGCAGAAGGACCGAAGTACACTGCTGAGGGGAGCAGCGGGCGGCAGGAGAGGTCTGCGCGCCATGTGGGACCCTCCTCCGGTGGCCGGGGAGCAGCCGGGGATCGAACCGGCGCCGCAGAGGCCGCGGGCAGCTTCGCAACCCAGCGCTCAACCGCTGCGCCACCGGGGAGGCCCTATCTTGCTTTTTAGACCTCAGAATAGTACCCATTTCCAATGTGTCAGGAAAAATCTGCTTATCAAATTTGTAGGGCTGAACTTTCTCTCTCGCTGCAGCAGGACTTGTGAAATCAAACACCTCTTATCATCCTTGTAAGGAGACCAGTAGCAAACACTGGTGTTGATGTGCCAGGCTGAGCACCAGTTCCCTCTTTAATAAGCCTGCAATCTTGCTCCTGGGTTACCTGCACTATTTGCAGACTCGGAGGTTACCCCCATTATTGGCTGAGGTTGCCACGGTGCTGAGTTGGTGAGCAGCTTCCACCTACAACTTTTCTTCTAAGAAAGATGGAGGGCAGCTGTGCGTGGAACCACCTCCCCCTACCCAGAATTTGTTCATCCTGGGGTTGTTCAAAAATTTGTCCTCTGCAACACATAGTGTCGACAGGAGTTTTAAAGGAGAGAAATCCCTTCTAACCTAGATCAGAAATAAATGCTTTGCTTTTTATTTTTAGCAGCTAACCTACATAAGCAGCATCTGATAAGTACAGGCCAGAAAAGTTCCTTTTGCCAAAAAAAAAAATAATCAGGCAATTATTATTTTCCTATAAAGGGAGCACATTTTTTTTTCCTTCCTGGGGTTAAGCATAGGTATTGACAGGGAAGGGAAGATGTGAGGAAGAATGAAGAGATACATAGACTCTGGAAGCATTTAAAGATAAACTGGGAACTGGAGTTAAGTATTAGGAACTAAAATAATGGCATGTACGTTATGCCTTAATATTGCAACATAAATACAGTTACATATTCTTTGAATGGCAATGAATGGTGTTTCTTTTGAACAGATAATTGCCTGAACTACTCTGGATTATTTCAAACCACTCAGTAGCCCTAGTGCTTTGCTGTGATTCAGTGTTTTTGCAAAATTATAGGAGATTCTATTATATTTTGAAGGTAACAAAAATATTTTCACACTAAGTTAACAGACTCAATTTTCAGTGCCCATTATTTGTGTTAAACCAGTGGCGTGTCTTGAAATCGCTCCCTGTTCAGACTCTCCACCTGCTGAGGATTACTGTGTACTCCTAGGGCGCAGCTTACCTGTAGAAATACCTGCCCCTTAGCACAGAAATATGCTTTCTGTGTCAGTAAATTACTCCTCTATGGTGGCAAAGCCTACTCATGATGGTTGACTGTGGGTGCTTTCAGAGGGAGCCTTCTGAGGTGAAGAGGAGGGCTTTGTGGTTTCCATGGGTGAGGACCCCACCGTGACTTGGCCCTTGTTCCACCTGCCCTAGAGTCCCTGGAGAAGTGGGAGCGCCTGACAGTAGCTGATGCCCTGGAGCCCGTCCAGTTTGAAGATGGAGAGAAAATCGTAGTTCAGGGAGAACCTGGGGATGACTTCTTCATCATCACGGAGGTAAACCCTGGGCATGCCACACTCAGATGGGGCTCCGGGTTCAGGTGGGGCTCTTGGACTTAGGTGGTATTCTGGAGCTCAGTGGGAGCTCAGGTAGGGCTCTGGGGCTCTGAGGCTCTGGGTTCAGGTAGGGTTCATGTGGGACTCAGGCAGGGCAGGCCTTTGGGGTTCAGGTGAGTCTCTGGACTCTGGTGGGCATTTGGAGCACACATGGAGTTCAGGTAGGATTCTGGGGCTGAGAGTTCAGGTGGGGCTTGGGGTGATTGTGGGCAGTAGTGCTTGCTTAGAATGGGTGGGAAGGATGGCTGCCTGCTCCGTGAGGATGTGTTCCCCTCCCACTGGAAAGAGAGTGACCAACGAGCCCATGCGTCCGCTGTGCCCCATACCAGCTTCAGCGTGAAGCTATATGGGGTCATAGTCTCACATTCCAGTGTGTCTTTTAATCTTTGCGATTGGAACTTTTTCTTAAAAATGGCGTAGGGCCCCTTGATCCACATTGATGAGGTTGCACATGCAGGAATTCAGGTAGAGGTGGAAAAGGTGAAGAAGGTGGGTGGATGGGGCCCACGTCAGTACCCTGGTGTGATCTGCACTCAGAGTTTTGCAGCCTGTTACCGTTGGGGAAATGCATACATTTAGGGCACATGTGCGCTCGTTTTATTTTTTACAACTTCATGCAAATCTGTAATGTTCTCAAATTAAAAGTTGAACTTTAAAAATGGGGCCAGACCTCTCAACCTGAACCCATAAGTCACTTCTCGTTCGAGCCACACCTCCACCCCTCTGCAGGGCAGGCGACAGCTGACTCCAGCCCATAATCCATGGCCCACACTTGAGCCATTGCTGAAGGCAAGCAGCTGTTGTGGCCAGCCCTTCAGCTCCAGGGCTGTGCCTCACCAGCCCCCCACCCCGAGAGAACCCCTGCTCCACAGCTGCCCAGGAATGGGTGAGTGGCCAGTCTTGCTGGTTTGGTCACCCTGCTGATGACACAGAGCCAGTACTATGTCACTGTTTGCTGGGCTTACTTTCTGCTTCTCTGGTCCTCAAGTGGGAAGGATTTCACATGCTCATTAAAGACATTCCTCAGCTCTGTGCTCGCTATTGGGAGGGGGATCCCTGCAGCATGGCAGAGTTTGGGCACTGCAGGCTGAATGCTTGTCCTGGCCCAGAGCAAAGTGGTCACTGTGCTGTTGCTGCCTTGGGAATATCGGAAAGAATGGAAGAGCACAAAGAGCTCAAACCCTGGTCGACATTTGACACACCAAATTTGGGGTTCACTTTCTTGGTTTAAAATAACAACAGATGCAACAGTAAAACCACCCAGGGAGCAGATGTCAGTAAGAAATTCCAGAATTCTCTGTGCCTGTGAGCACTGTGACATGGACCATACAGCATGGCTGTGTGCATAAGATCTCCAGGTAGGAAACGTGAATTTCATTTGAGACAAGCGTGGGGCTTGTGCAGATGCCCTTCCCAGGAGGTGTGTGTAGGTTCTCTCTCCATTGCCTCTCCCTGTAGCCCTCCCGCAGGGCAGTCTGGAGGGCTGTGGAGGTGAGCAGACAGAGGTGAGACCAATGGTCTGGAGTACTGGGAAGGGTCTCCCAGCCCCCCACCCCAAGGTTGCAATGTGTACTTGGGGCTCTGGACCTCATTCTGCCTCCCTCTCCATCGCCACGCGGAGCAGTACAAGCGCTGAGTGAGTGAGGGGGTGAGTGCATTAGTGAGGAGGTCTCCAACCTGAGCTGTCCTAGGGGTTGCTGAATAGTCTGAAGGAATCCCCTGCCGGGAGGAATTCTCAGGCAGTATAACTTGCCCTGTAGGTTGGAGGTGCTTTTAACCGTAATATTTCCTTGATAAGTGTAAAGGAAGAAAGAAAGACTAAAATAGGCAGAACAAAGTTTGGTCTAGGCAGTGCTAAATGAGGTCTTGGCTCAACAGACTGGAGAGGGGGATGAACCCACATTTTCAGCTCCTTGCCTTGTAGCCATAACCCCAGAAGTGAACCTTTCCAAAGACTCACGCCCTGAACTTGCCCAGAAGCTGCGTGCCTCCCTGCCAAAGGCCCAGGTGAGCCTTATGTAATTGCTCCTTAAGTCAAATCATTTCCAAGCCTTGATTTTGGAACTTTAAGGGAACAGTGGACCCCAAAGCCTGCATTTTTTAATATCCTCCTTAAGTCTGAAAGGAGCTGGGGGGGTTTCTCTGTGGTTATCTAAAGAAGTTTCCACAGAAGGTATTAAACTCTCAAACCCATGGCGGGAAGGCGGTGGTGTTTTCTCTGAGGGTGGCCGTGGGGGCTGTGCCGACACCTGCATGAGCTGGTCTGGACACCCCTCAGCCATAGTCACATTCTCTGCCGGCTGGTTTCCTGCCCCGGATGCTCCACTCCTCACCTCAACTGCCCGCATTCCATCAGGACAGCGGCCTCCGTGGAGACACCCTCTCTGGGCATCTGTGTGCCTGGCACTTTCCAGTTTGGAAGATGATGATTTCTACTGAGGTAGAGGGCAGATTCTTCAACCATCAGCATTAGAACAGCCCTGCCCCGCAAACCCACGGTATCATTACAAGTGACTGCAGCCTGTTGCTGTGCTCTCCCTGGAAAAGTGGAGTTGAATCCTCCCCTGAAGCTGGTCCAGACTCAGTTACTTCCTTGACCAATAGGACGTGGCAGAAATGACGTGGGAGGGTCACAGGAAGGCTGGCAGCTCCCACATGGGCTTTGAGACCTTGTTCTTGGGATGGGTTTGGAACCCAGCAGTTATGCTCAGAGGCACCCACATGATGTAGCTGTGGCAATGACTGCTCTGTGCTCCAGGTTCAACAGTTCACCTCAGATAATAGCCCCGCCACCACCACCCGCGACAGCGCCATAGTCCTGGCCAGAGCCGCCCACCCAGGCCCAGAACCATGAGTGTTGGTTTTAACTTCTGGAATTTCTTGTCAGTTTTCACCACTGAAGTGAATATAGAGCTGGAGTTCCCCCCCATCCCCACCTCCCTTGGACAGGGGGCTGTCCTGATGACCACGGTACCCCGGAAAGTATAAATTGCTGCTGTTCTTCTAGGCTTTACACTTGTTAATAAGAAAATGGTGCTCACAGGTCCCGTCTGACTGGGAGGTGAGTGTATATTGTCCTGTGCAGCGTTTTTATTAACCAATTACTGATCAAGCTTTAAAAAATCAGGAGATTTCAGGGGAACACCTGGATCTTTAATTTCTCTTGAAAAGTCTAGTGTCTGGCTGCAATTGACCTGAATCCACCTAGCATCCCATGAAGCTGAGAGTCAGGTGCCATGTTGCCATGTGCTCTGTTAGCCTCAGTCCTCACCCAGCCCTCTTGCCCCCTTGGTGATCTCAGCAGGTACCTTCAGGTGTGTGTTGGCCACATTAGTTCCAGTCATGAGCTGAGAGGATGACACCTCTGGTGATGCAGACAGTTGTCCAGCTGGGCTAACTTCCCTCCCAGCTGGTCCAAGGCTCTGGGTAGAAAAAATCATAAAAATGTGTGTGAAAGGCATGGATCAGCAAGGGACTCTCACAGAACACAGAGTTGTCACTAGCTGTGTGATTAATGATGAAAACTTGAACTGGCATTCTGAGCTTAGGCTGTGCCAGGCATTGTGGGAACACTGACATCAATGTAACCCAACCGCACCCATGAGGGAGCCCTGCTCAGGCTCCTGTCTAGTCAGGGACACCCAGCTTTGCCCAAGGACACACAGCACCTAAGTGATGGACCCAAGACTCAGTCTCTACATCCATGGCTCTGATCCTGTGCTCTTTGTGTGTGGTATGTATCCAAGTGTTTTACCGTTTCTCTCCTTAGAGCTTTTCCCAGAGTGTCACAGATTTCTCCATGCCCCTCTCCCTTTGGGTGGTGGTAGGGATCTGACCCTGTCATGTTTTGCCCACCCTGGGCCCAGATGTTGCGTTGCCTCCCACGAAGACTGTCAGAGAAAATTCTCACGATTTTTGTTGAGGGTGTACCTGCACCAAGGCTGTGGTTTTGTGTTGTTAACAGCCAATTCTCAGAGATCCCATCCCCTGCAGAATCACCAGCAGATGGTGCCAAGGGTGGGGTTGGGGGTGGGGAGGTGGGGGGCAATGACTGCCCATAGCCAAGAGCTCCTAATGCCCTCAGCAAAGAAAGACTTCAGAAGATTCTTCAGAGAACAATTCTATCAAGAGATTTTGACTTTGTGGCAGGAACGTCCTCCCCCTATTGATGGAATATGCATGCTGGTTGGGGGTTGAGGGGCCAGAGAGTGGGGTTGGGGCAGACCCACATAAACCAAGTATTGTACAGGCCTCTGGAATGTAACCCAACCCTCTCGGAAGGTATAGTTTTCACAGTGTTGTAAAATGTATTTGAAGTGGTCTCCTTGGCAACTTGAATTCTTTTCCCTTTTCCTCTGTGATCAACCAAATTTGGTAAGTCGCATTGGGATCCCAGGGTTCACGGGAATCAGACACTCTCAGAATGAAATGCAACCTAGCAGACTTGTAGCTTCAATTGCTATTTTCCCACATAGTCAGAAGCCATCTACAGCCCGCTACCCATTCCCGCCTGGTGCCCAGTGAGCCTTCCAATACCCCAAGGTCTTCTCCATGGTTCTGGGGATTAGTTGGGAGACAAGCAAGGCAGGAGGCTGCAGTCTTTGGTTCAGGAAGGACCTGGACATTGGTGATTCTGGGTGGTGTGTCTGAATGGGGAAGTGGGGCCTGTTGATTGACCTTGGGGGGCAAATGGAGAAGTCAGCTAAGGGAATGTTGTGTAGGTTTTTTTTTTTAATTTTTAAACTTTTTTTTTTAAAGATTGATTTATTTATTTATACAAGCACTGGGTACAGTCAGAAGCGCGGGAAGATGAGAGAAGTCACCAGAGCCAGAGGGGAGAGCAGACCAGGCAGACTGACGAAGTACACTGCTGAGGGGAGCAGCAGGCGGCAGGAGAGGTCTGCGCGCCATGTGGGACCCTCGCCTGGCGGCCGGGGATT